CAGCTTTGAAAGAGCAATAGTGGTCTAGTTCATCTGATGTATACCCTCATTTGGTCCAAATTTCGGAAATGTCTAAAACCACTAATTCGAATAACTTGTACAAGAAACCTATCATATTTAATTATATGTACATTAAATACACATATAGGATCGATTCAAACAAAACAAAAAGTAAATTTGATCTTAAGAGTACTTGTATATGCTTAGTAGCACAATGAAAACGATTATTAAAGAGATGCACCAAATGTCTCTCCAGTGGCATAAAAATAAGGGGGAAACTGCCCCATATGTACATAGGTCTTTAAGGCCCACTGTAAATTATACAAGTTAAAAGGAAAAGATAACAATAAAAATGAAATTGTAAAATAAAATTTGGGAATGATAAAAAAATTCAGAATAGTTTTTATCTGTACTTTCAACACATAATGATCTAAGAGTCATCTTCAGACTGAATTCCGAAAAATAATTGGCACTGATAGTAATGCCTCCGAAACATTGCACCAGTAATATTTAAATGTGGGAAAAAATTCCATACTAAATATAGCACCACTTTTTCCCAAAAGAAAGAAAAAAAAAAGACACACAAAGTCATGTTTTTAAGATTTTGTGTGGGGGGCGTTATAATGTGATGGTCAATCCCACTATTCGTTGGTAAAGTAGTAGCCCAAGAGTTGGCGGTGGGTAGTGAAAACTAGCTGCCTTCTCTCTAGTTTTTTACTGCTAAATTATGGACGGCTAGCGCAGATAGCCCTCGTGTATCTTTGCGCGAAATTCAAACCAAACCCCAATTTTGTACTTTTACTAGTGTAATTTTTAACAGTGGGATTATTACTGGAACCGTTACTGTCCATGCCATTTTTAGTGTTACAATTTTCCCCCACTTTGCTTTGCATTATTACTGGTGTCATTACAGGGATAGAAATAATGAAATAAAATTACATTCACTTGAGGGAAAGCTATCATGAAGATTACATTCCGTCGTGTAATGTTGCATTTCCTCATGAATTTTTTTTTTTTTATCTAATCCATGCAATATGTTCCCTTTCACTGGTCATAACTAAAGGAATACAGATGGACCATGCATTCCCGATCGGAAAAGCCAACTAAAATGATGAAATTCCTTAAGCAAAGTTAGATCCCTCTGGAATGCAATATTTCGATCCCTGCATTATTATCAGACCCAATCTTCAGTCTGCGTGATACATAGTAAGAACTGAGTTTTAAAACATATTATAGACTGTACTGAACGCAAGTGAATAACGCATTTTCAAAAATGATAACACATCATTTGTCTTGAAATTAACACTAAGACACAATGTAATATACATCATTACAGCAATTGAGAAACATTTATACTGATGTTCCTGACCGTATTGTGCAATTACAGAGACAAGCTGGTTTTAAAGAGAAAAGCTAAAGGCCTATTCTATATTGAACGTGAGGATAGAATCACGATTCAGTTATTATTACTCTCATATCACTGAATTTAAAACAGAAGAACTGGCAAAGCTGAAATGCTGTGTTAGGATTTAGTAATGGTCCAGATTATGTTACGAACTAAACATACATATTATATACAAGAGAAGTTTTAGTTGTGGTATAGTCCTAACCATTATTTGGTTGAAATCATTTTATAATTCTCATATGCTTTATTTTAAAAGCATATTTTCCCGTTAGATTATTAGGTGACACAGGAAGGTATTCGGAGAATAAAGGAAAGGAAATTAGTGTACACATGCGATTATGGTAGAAAGGTTAATGCATAAAGAGGTAGAAGCATAATAATTTTGTTCAGCGCTTCTCAGACCATTGTTACGCACCGCTGCGTCACACGTTTGTGACAGTAATTTACGTTACAAGTACTTAATTCCAATTATATTAGTTTGTGTATCAACTATTTTTAAATGAAACTAAACTACCTGTTACATGTATTTATTATGCACAACGGATACGCATACGGCAAGAAATCTAGTAGCTAGTAATATAAGAAGCTAATGTTTTCCCCAATCCAGAAACATGTATCGAACATTCATATGTTAAGACATAAATTACCTTGAACAGCAATGAAGTTGAGATTTTATCTGCCTTTCGACACAGCTCTGGACAAATTTAGCCATACAAACTAAGTCAGAACAATAGATGTCAAAACGTGTGGATGGTAGAATTCCGGAGAGCGGTGACACGACGCTGCAATTCCTTGTATCTCACCCTCGTGTCTAATCTTAACCATCCTCGATGCTCACGCTCTGCTCATTCTTCTAACACTTGCATGCACAAGATATGTCCTCACGCGTTCCGCGCGCACATGCATATTATGTTCTCACCAATAAGGAGAAGAGACATAAAAACTATATATGTGTGAATGATTCTTCTTTCTGTGGGCGGAGAAAAGAAAGTAAAAAGATGTGAGTTCGCCATCTGGTGTCCGACTTGGACATTGGGATCTACGGAGTTTATAGGAAAATCGTAAAAACTCCAGTTTTATAAATGCGAAAATTAACGTTGCAGTTTCTCGGGTGTGGCATAACTTTTTTTAGGTAAACAGATCAAATGTTAACATAAAAATATCGTTATTTTTAGGGAAAACAGTCATTAACTTCTAGATTGGTAAATTAGTAAAGACGGGGAATTCGCGAAGTGTAAAACCAAAAATTCTGTCTTTAAAATGCATTTGAAACTTAAATTTAATGCGTCTTGAGAGCTATAACACAACTCCGATATACTTT